GCCGCCCGCATAATCTCTAACTCACGGCGCCGCTGTAAAGGTCACGGATAGTACGGCGGCGACAGTTTATGATTGATATAAATGCAGAGCACTCAACTGTGAAACGCTTCCACTGTCAGTTCGAGGAGTGATGCGGAGCTCAGGGCAGGCGTCGTCGGCTGGGATGTGGTGGTTCATGTGAATCTACGGCCACCGCGAGTGGTGAGATGGTTATTTTCGGTGATAAGTGTGGCACATTTCATATTTTAGAGAGCCAGAGATAAGTGCTGCATATGTGTATGTATGTATGTATGTATGTATGTATGTATGTATTTATGTATGCATGTATGTAGGTAGGTAGGTATGCATTCCCGAGCTGAGACCACTGAATATTATTAGGGAGACTAGCGACAAGCCTGCCGCTGCCCTGGGTTATCTGAGGCTAGATGACCGCGGCACAGGAATGGACACTAGACGATCCATTGCTGTGCCGCTATATTAGCCGTTTTCACGACGGGCTATCCGGCGAGCGCACCTAATTTGACCAAATCTGCACCTTATCTCTTTTACAGGAAATATCTTTATTTTATGAATTTATTTAAGTGTTTTCATCGATGATACTCTCTGATAATATGACAAAGTGCATGGCTAGGCGTATAAGCAATTAGTCCAACCCTTGCTGATAGCTCCTAAGAGACACACTGAGCCTAATTTGACCAAATCTGCACCTAATTTGCACTAGATGTGCACCGAATGTGTACTAGATGGCCGTCTCGAAAACGGCTATTTCCTACTAAGACTGCCCTTAGGTCAATGGGGCTTCAGCTTCACTATCGCCCGGCAAACCAATGCACAGTTTAACCTCCTACAAACGTGGTTGTAGGAAGTCAGGAGGTCTGTATACAAAGTTATTAAACAGTGGCATTCCCAACATGCCTTGCTAGCCACGGAGCCCTTGATTAATGAGTATTATCTCCACATCGGATAAGCTCACTTACCCCAGCCTGGCTTAGAGCCAAATAAGATAACATTAAAGTAATCATAATAAATAATTCTACTAAAGAAACAAGCCGAAACCATTCAGACGTGTACCATATTCAGAGTCCCGCGGTGTTTTAGTGGGGCGGTGAGTGGCCTGATTAACGCAGCTCATTAGCTCCGTCAAAGGTAATGGAACCGACGCGGATCGGTTTCTCCTAATCTACGTCCACAGCCTTCGCCGTGCCCGGACCGTGCAATTTGTTCCGGCGCCGTGCACTGTGCACCGTGCACACCGCCCCGCCGTGCAGCCCACGGTGTGCACAGGCAGTCACATCAGCGCCCTGGCGCCGTTTGTCACCCCGACCAGTTCCAAGGGGCTGGGAAACCTCCGCGGCTCAGTCCACATCCTTACACCAAATGGCGTTCAAGCTGGGGAATGAACTGACGCCGGCATTGAATGCGCCTTCAGCCAACTCTGATGATAATGCTGATGATGATTTGGGCGGTTACGTCATTGCCAAAAGTGTTGGACTGTCACGTGTCTCTCCCTCTCCATCTCTCTCCCTCTCTCTCTCTCTCTCTCTCCCTCTCTCTCCCTCTCTCTCTCCCTCTCTCTCTCTCACTCTCTCTATCTCTCTCTTTCTCCCTCTATTCCTGCTACAGAGGCAGCCGTGTGGTGCTTCACTGGCGGACCGATTGGGCTCGTTTCCAGCGGAGACTGAGCCCATTTGGAAAACGTCAACTCCGGCCCCGAGAGCGAGAGACCTTGGTCAGACCGGGGAAACGAAACTATTCGTCCTGGGATGACTGGTGGTCCAGATGGGACACATATGGTAGTGCTGAATTAATCCATGAAAAGTTTCATGTAATGGAAGAAATATTCCAAGTTCTAAAATTATCCCAAATGAATGCGTATTAATGACAAAACTAGCCAAAAATATTATACAGGCATTTGGCAATCTTTCAATATTTTATTTTGCAAATTGATTTATTCTCTATGTGGTTTATTCAGAAACAGGACACCATTACCTTGTTGGATTGAGGTCCAACCACGAACCGCTCTGGGCATTCCTACAAAAGTTAAAAGAGTGGCAAGCCATACGGGAGCCATTCGTGAATTTCCCTGGAGAAGTCCAACAATCAACAGAAAAGCTCTTATTGCCAGCTGCACTTCCGGAACGAAGTGGTTGTAGTGGGTACGCTACCTTCTCAATTCCTCGCCAGTGTGGCTTAGTAGTAGATTATAGATAAATAGTTTGGTCTTCAGCGGTATCTCGTCTCTTCCAGCACGATATGATTTTGGTGAGATCATGTTTTTTTATTGTTTATTTACTCAGTATTTCAATTTTTCTTCCGTTTAGATATCAAAATTTCAAATTCAGTAAGTTATTTGAAATGTAGAACTACGTACCACCAGTAATATTAATATGTAGCTCAACTTGTCGGTGTAGTCCATAAGCAGCCTGTGGGCAGGCCAAGGAAAAGATTGACGCTTATTACATATTCAACGATGCCGTTTCCGTGTATTGCGAGTCAAAACTCCTCGACAATGCCAGTTGCGCCACCATCGCTGTTCCGCTTCGTCCCTCCAAACACACAGATTCAGCAGGACCCTATAGCTGGCCACCCAGGTCAGCGGGCGCGGACAGACCACCCTTCCTCTCCGCCCCTGAGCGATGGTGAGCCGCCGACTCGACAAATGTGACGCGCTGGACACAATGCTAGCGCAGTGGCGACGAGACCGCGCCGCCCGGCAAACGAAATCAGGTGCCGCATGTCGAGTGGAGACAGGAGAGAGGAGAGGAAGAGAGAGAGAGAGGGAGAGAGAGAGAGAGAGAGAGAGAGAGGGAGGGAGGGAGGTAGGGAGAGGGGGCACGACGAGGTCGTGACTCCGAGGAGGACGGGCCGTGACCACGAAGGGCCGTACGCAGGTGCCTCCGATCGGCTTCGACTGTCAGACGAGCTCTTTCCCATGTGTTGGGCCTGAGCCTGAGGTTACACGTGCAGGTATTCCACCGAAGTTCGGTGTGGGCATTTGCTACGAGCTAAATGGAATGTGTTGGGAGATAGGACAAAGTAGCTTCGGAGGAGCTTCGGAGGAGCTTCGGAAGATTTCTGTTGCGCATCAGCTACGCCTGTTCTCGTAAACCACTTCTTCGTAACCAACTTTGGTCTGCATCTACTTCTGGCTCTCATCTCTCTATCCGACACTGATCCGCAGTGACCTGCCCCCCCCCCCCCTCCTGTCCTCCTGACCGGCCCTCACGATACGATAGGCCTATGAGAGGGTGGGCGGGCCTCTCTCGGGTCGGTGGGCGGTCAGGACATGTCCATCCCTTTGACGGCCGTCTGACCGGGCCGTATATCTGACCCACCACTCAGTGTTGCCGACCCGGCCACTGACAGGGTGACGGGCCGACATCGGACAGGCAGGGCCACCCGACACACACACGGGCTGACGGATTGACAGGCGGTCCAGGGACATGGGTGCAGCCTCACCGGACAGCGTCCGTCGCGCTGATACGAGGGCGTTGATGTTCGGTCAGTCAGAATAGCAGAGTGGTATCGACTTGAAGGAGACAGCTACGGCTAAGTAGTCACAGTCGGTTATGCCTGATCACTATTGTTATGGCTGGGTCAATAAATCATTGTGGCCGGTCAAATCAGATTTCCAGATTTCCAGATGATAAAAGTTCCAATGAATCAACGTCAGGTCAAAACCAATATCACGTTATTATCGCTCATATGCCTAACCGTTGATATATGTTCCGGGAAACTTCAACATAACCACATTAGCAATCGCGATCGGTGTGAAATTACGTCGTCAATTACAATAAGACAATTTGGGGCTGTGGATTTCACAATATTCCTAGCAAGGGCTTGTAAGTTCCCTCACGGAACTCAGTGCAATCTACTATTAGTTGACAACAGGTATCCAATGCGTGCTTACATTAAAATCGTGTATACGCTAATGAATGGTCATGAGATTTCTATGCCACCTGACGCAACAAAGTCCGTTCTCGAGGACGTTTCGGTCTTCACGGCTTGTCTACTGAGAACTCAAAGCTTGCAATGCCGTTATATGATTCACCCTAAGGTCAAGTCATGGGTTTGGTCTGGTCTGTTCTGGTTCGGTCTAGTCTGCTGTGGTTATATGCTGTTGTCTGGTCTGGTCGGGTTAGGTCAGGTCAGGTCAGGTCAGGTCAGGTCAGGTCAGGTCAGATCAGGTCAGGTCAGGTCAGGTCAGGTCAGGTCAGGTCGGGTCGGGTCGGAAAAGGCCTCGGACTAGGCTGCAGAGTCTCACCTGGGGTCGGTCCAGTCAGGCAGCTCGGGCTGTCTTGGCTGGGGCCTGGCCGGGCCGAATGAGGATTGGACTGTTCCTGAACGCCAAGATCTCGTCTCCGACCGTCCCGACATATATTGGCGGCATAAAGGCCATTCCATGAGAATGACGGGTATGTCACCCACGTAGAAATTCGTATGGAATTTCACGGCTATTGTTGCTACGCTATGACAACCAGTAAAACGTCCCGAAAATGAAATAGCTTGAAAGAAAAAGCAGTAAACCGACGATTCCTTTTCAATTTAGACGAAATCCACCTCAGGAAAGATTCATCTAATGGCTAATCCTGAAGGAATGATATCCAGTGATTCTGACTTCAGAAGCGCCGTGGAATATCCCGGCACTTCGCCTTATCCCAGTTCGCGACGGTAGAACACTGGCAGTAACGCTACGAGGTGCTGTGATAGCATATCCGATCGCGTCAGACACCGTGACGTTCGTTCAAACGTCCGTGGTCGGACGTATGGCTGCACCGTGACTTTTCGTGATCGATCGTGACTCGTGACCAAAAGCGACTCGTGACGGTGACAGTGACACTGGTCTGAAACAAAGTTCTACCAAGAAACTGCGACTGTGACTGAGTGTGAGTAAGAGTCGAGCAGCGAGCTGTGACAGACTGTGACTGTCATGATGTGTGTGTATGATCGGCTGTGACTCGTGACCGTTGTGAAGGCCGTGATTGTGAGTTGTGACTGACCTATGCCGCTGCCCGCTCCTGCGCTGTGACCTGCAGCTCCATTGTTCAACAGCACTGGTCCAGTCTCGTCGGAAAAGTTGCCGATGGCAGGTTCTGCAAATAAACAACAATAATCAGGTTAGGTGGTAATACAAGGTATCATGTTGCGTCACATACGATGAAATTAATATCGCATGAGGTCAAGACAATTGTCGAGTATGTGGCGGCTCAGATTTACCCAAATTCATTTACCTGTCACGCTACACTTCGCGAATTATGACTTTTTCATCAAGCAAAACCAATGCGTAACACACAAAAACATAATATTTCTTTGGCACCGAGAACCCAAAATCATGTTTTTTTTTTTGTAGTCAGCAAAACGTGACTTCCTGGTGAGTTAGAACGTGATATCATTAGCGTTACTGAAGCCGACAGCTACATGACCTTCCCAAATCTCGCTGTCCATTGGTAATCTACACCACCCCGGCACCCCGCCTGCGTTCGGCCGTCCGGCCCCGTCCGCGGAGCCCTCATACGACGACAGCAGTCAGATAACATCTGATAGCTGGACGGCGCTAAGTTCCCTGTTCGAACCACTTCCAACAGCCGAATCTGGCGACGGCCGATCGATCTCGCCTCTATCCTGGATTCCGGGCCGCGGACGGACCGGTCGCCTGGGTCCAGCTGAGCGGTTGGTTGGTCCGGACCGGGACCGGTCTCCTGGCGACAGTGAAGGATGGTCCGCGGACCGCAGCTGCGTCTCTGAGCAGCTGAGCACCGCCGGTACAGGACGCATCCAACCAACGGTGCATAACCATCTCTTACCGCCGCTACAGGCTAATGCTGACCAGATGGCAGGATTTGAGGCCGTACTCTGACATGTCACCTCAGTCAGTCCCATTGTGTTGCGCCTTAGACTAGTATCGATAGCACGTGCCAGGGGAGCGAAGCAGGCGACCGGGTGTTCCGTCCCGCCGATGTGAAGCCCCACGCCTGCCCGCCCCGCGCGGCTCCGTTACCGCCAGGTAGTGCGGTGCATTGAGCAAGGAGCACTGTTGCGAAACGCCACGGTGGAGATTTCAGGGGCGGGCAGGGTTTCGGTCGGATAAAACCAAGGAAGCCGGACATTGGCGCCGAAGCCGCCCATTTACAACACCGCTACAGTGAGACGGCTAGGAGACAACACCTTAGGCATCGGAGGTCCCTCATACGAGCTAGAGGGATTTGTAATAACGTGTTTACTGTTTATGTAAGGGAGGTCAGGATCGCCCCTTGTCTTATGTATACAAATGTCTTGTTGAGATACGACGCCATGGTCATTCCAATTGAAGAACAGTAATCCCCACCCCCCAAATCAATTGTATTTCATGACTACTTCCCATTGAGACACATTTCCCACTTGACACTTCCCATTCCCAAGGATCATCCCAGAACCCACAGCCCCTCGCTGCCCCACAAGGACGCCTCGCGCACCGTCTTCAGTGGGCGACAGCTGATGGCACGACGTCAATCAATCGGGCACCCTGGCCAGACGGAGACGCGTATCGACCTGCCACCACCGTCAACAAGACGTCGCCGTCGCCGTCGCCGGTCGGAGCTGTTGCCTCCGACTCGGCGGCTCCGCTCCTCGCTTGTTAGTCCAGGAAATGAGCGGGTGGCCACGGAGAATAGAAATGAGCCGCCCGAGCGGCGCGCGCCGGGATCGCGGAGTCAGCACGGAGGTGCTCCGTCCAGCAGGATTCTGGGAGGCCCGGAAAAGTTTAATAGCGATATAAAGTGTTTTCAGGGTAGCTGTGATGAATGGGAGAGTTGGAGGCTTGTGGACGCGACTGGACTGGGAAGGGAGGAACTTCATGGTTGGGGAAGGAACTTCAAGAATGAGAAACAAAGATTGTGTATTATTTTGCTGATCTCTGATTACATCACATCCTTATTTCCAGCCGTTTTCTTGTAAGATAATCGTCTCGGAGTGGCGCACAGCCCGGTAAGTCGTTCGGCGGATTTAGCGAGGAAATATGGCAGAGGGCATGGCTGTGGCAGGTTGCCCATTTGCCACGGCGACACGCCATAATTTTCCAGTCAGAATTCTTAAGAAGACAGCGAATTCGGCCGAAGGCGCTGTCAGAAAAAGTAGCACTCTTCCACCGAGCTGTGACATTTGATTAAACAAAAGGGGCGTACAACAAGTCGGAATTGGCAGAAACTCCTGTTGGGCGATCAACAACAAGCACGATTCCAAGATTTGACTTTCTGGCGTGCGCACGTCAAACCACAACTGACGAATCACGCCCGAATCGATACGCTGCTGACAATAACAGAAGCTCGACAAGCATGCGATCGTTTCGCATGCGGTGCGCCTTCAGCCGCTCGTACGAAAACAAAGTGGACAGAATTGAATCGCTAAGCAATGGAGACTTTATACATCTAGCTTTATCTGTCATTTCATCAGCTGCTGCAGAAAAAAAATGTATGCAGCATGCATTATTTGATCAACCCTACTCGAAATCACATTTGTCTATCATTCATAGCTACAACTTTAATCATTCAATTAATTCCGGTTAATAAGTTGAGTCAGTTTGACTTCAAATTTATTGGCTCAAACCAAACTCCCTGGCCTCCTGTGGAGATAACCGAATGAGCCCGAGCGGCAGCACCCGGCTCAGGCCCAGTGGCAGCTTCCGACGGCGTGTTTTCGACCGGCTGTGTGCGACCGATATCGGTTACAGCAAATCACCGTCCAGCTGGGGCGTCTCAGTGGGCGGACGACACCCTGAGTCCTGACGTGTTTATAGAGGACGCACGACCGAGACGACACCTTCGAGAGACCGCTCCGGCGGGGACTGAGACCGTCGCGCCCCGGGTGGGCTAACATTAGCGAACATAACTCAAAAATATGCAGAAAATGTTGAAATAAACACCGTGTGATGTAGATGGTACTAACTACTAAGCGCAGGTATGGTTAGTGGCGTTACTGTGAATCATACGATTGTCATATCGTTTCTGGGTCGACCTAACAGGATCCGTACCATCTCAAAAGACATCATATCTGCTGAATGCTGGTGCAAGCTACTATCGATACTTTCAAATGGACCAAAAGGTGGACACTCAATCCGCATACCTACCTGCCCTGCCCACCTTCGTGCTTCCTCAGGCAGGATACCTGGCGACTGGGATCATTCACCCGCCCAGCGATCGCAAGGCGTTCCCTGTCCGGTTCTCCGCCACCCACTCGATGGATCGGTCCAATTACGCGTGGGCGGGGTCGTGTGGTGACAGGGGAACTTTCGAGCGCCGAGAGAGCGGCGTGAGTACGTATCCTGGCTCGTCAACATCATCTCTTGTCGAGTACTCACGGAGCACCGCACATAACAACTCGTCCACTTGAACTCAGCGGCGAGAGCTCTCCAAACGGCACCTGGCGAGTGGCCGGTCGCCGTCAGATCCACCAAATATCTGATTAGCTGACCCTCACCGGACGCGCACAACATCCTGCAGCAAGGGGGAGCTGTGTCTGTCCTCCTGCTGTGTGCGTGTCCAAGAGGGCGGGTCCGTCGCCGCCGTCACCGAACCATCAGCGCAGCTCCATCAGCTCGCCGTACATCATTAATGGGTCCCCGCCGGCTCACGTTGATAGCGTTCGCAAGTGCTCCGGCGAATCGATGACTCCCTGATGCGGAGGCGGCGTCCCGCGAGTGAAGGAGAGAGGCCTGGGTGGGCGCGGAGGAGGCGTGATCTGGTGCAGGGTGGGTGTGGAGAGAGGCACAGTCCAGGTGAGAACGTCCCAGCTGCGGCGCGACGGTGACGGATCACACTGGCGGACCATGATAGACCGAGGATCTCAGGGGATATCTGGACGATCTACACGCAACGTACGGGGGGAGTGCTATTGATTGTGAGTTGTGACGATGACGCGAGTTGTGGACAATTCATGAAGGAAGTCGGCGGAATCGCGTGTTTTTATGCATGATATTCAGTTTACGGTCTTTGGATTTATTTGACGTCCTGAAGGAAATACATTGAAAAGGAAACCGTGCTATTTTTGGAAGGCAGCAAGTGACTCAGGCTAGAGCTTTGCGCTGGCAAGCGGCCATTTGTGACAGCCTTAGATACATGAAGATACGACTCCAGTGGGGATTTTTACCTATCGCGTGAGCTTCTACACAACAACAACGAAAACACCGCCGAGGCTCCTCCGCAAAGGTGCCGCCTCGGCAAGCAGTTGACTCGACACCACAGGCCTTTCTGATGGTGCTCCGATGACACCATCGCTACATCAGGATGCACTGAAGCTGCAAAAGACATCAGGAGGAGCGGCTGCAATCAAGGGACGGGTCGAAGCGCCCCGACGTTATCGGCGAAGGGTGCGAAGAGCCCCGGGCGTGGGCCGTGAGGCGACAGAATGACGTGGCGAAGCGAGGGCATCGAGCCGGCTTTGTTGGCCATTGATATAGCTCCAGATACCAGCACTGCCGGGGGCGGCTCATCGTTACGCTGCAGGTCGGGAAGTGCGGAGCATGATGCGTAAAATGAGAAGACACCGGGAGCAGGTCGGCCGGAAACCGCGTGGAGTGTGCGACAGAAATCAGAGGCGCCCTCAAGAACCGGTTCCCACGGGATTTAGATACGGTACCACTTATCAGCACCGATATCGGTCATTCTTTCGTTTTGAATTTGCGAGTCGCTTATAAGACTTGCGTTCCCAGGCAGGATTTGTAAATATCTTGTTGGCTCATGATATCCGGAAGCCACATTCCAAACCACAGGTGCTTAAATTAACCGCATCGAGCGACCACAAGCCGTTTCACCAGATCGTTAGTTGAGGTGGTACACGTCAGCAGCGCAAACCAGCCAGGTGCCTAGGCCGTTTTTCCTTCCGCTCTTGGATACAAATAGAGGCTTGCTAAAGCGCATGTCGGCGAAGGCAGTCAACTACAACAGGGAAAAAGTAAACAGATAACATCTGAAAGTCACGGTAAAAACGCGTCTAACACCGCCATCCGCATGGCGGAATGTCTTTATCCATCATGAGATGACATCAAAGTCGTGCCGACTACATAATGTCACTCGGACACGTAATGCCCACGTGACACATAACGTTCGTGTGACACCATCACGAGTGCCAGATCATGTCTATCAGGACGACGAAAGCCTGCAACAGGCTGAATGACAAAGCACATGAGCTGCACATGGGTACAGAAAGCCTTCAATGAGTGTAGCGGAATATATGTAATGCAAGTAGTGCACGCTCGGCTTCACTTTGAGGTTTGACCGCAACGAGAAGTCGTACAGTTTTCTCCAGTCTAGGGCTCAAGCAGGCCCGTCAGCGTCGCCGTCCCCAGCAGGAGTCCGACAGGCGGCCTGTTTTTCTGCCCCTTCAGTGCAGGACAAAACGTGGCCATCGCTTGCAATCAATTCGTCGCCTCCAGTCGTCTGGAAATTGACTGCGGGACTCGCGCTGGACGACCCGGGTCGAATACCAAATCGAAGCCACCGAACAGTTTTTGCCGCCTGCTCATTGTGTCTGGCCGAGCGGGAATGCGCTGAGCGAAGGACGGAGAAGGAACGGAGCAAAAAGCCAGCTGTCGCCTCCGCTTCGTCAATGTGCACTGTGCACAGGTCGGTGTGCAAACACGGTACGCACAGACACGCAACTGTGCGGCAGCCCCAGCGAGCTTCGGATAAGCCAGGTGACGTCCAACGGCGACCGGTCGCACCAGGATCTCGTGAATAACGCAGGTCAGAACCAGTCACCGCTAAACCGTCCGGTCGCCGGCACTGAGCCCAGCAGTTTGATGATGTTCGATGATGTTCGTACTACCCGTCTTCCTCTCCGTTACAGCAGTCTTCCCCTTGAACCTGACCTGTTCCCTACATGTGAGCATTAACTGCACCGGTATAGATAGTTGGCAGTGCGCGGGTGCCACGGTCCGCTGCACCCACCAGCCGCACCTGGACGTCACGCCCACTGCACGCGTGAGGTGGGATCAGAACTGAGCGGACACGTGACGGACAGCGATCGCCTCCACCTCCGCCTCCGCTGGCTGCCGCAGCGCGGTGGCTCCAGCAGCCGTCCCAGCCGGGCGTGGCCGAGCACGGCCCTCTCGGCGCCGCAGAGTGTACGGCAGGCCGGCCGTGACGCTCCAGCGGCCGTGCCGACGCTGTCATCGCTTCATCGGTCGGCTGCAAGCTGAGCCCGGCGGCGGGGCGACACGGCGCCTGCAGCTCGTCAGGAGAGCGGCCGACCGGCCGACCGACACGGCCGGGCCGCTGCAGCCGGCGGGGACACGACGTCCACGGCGGGGGTCGGACGGCAACAGCACAGAAGCCAAACAGCCCGCGGCGCGGTGGCCGGCTTCCAGGCAGCCGCACCGGCGGCAGGCATGAGGGAGTTGAAAAGTGGCATGCAAAACTGAGCTCATCGTCGCACGCTCGTGACCGCGGGGCTTCAAAGAGGTGGTGTTTATTTTCGTGTACGGCTTCATCGGTAGCATCGGAATACTTTCACTCCTTATGGGTGCGTTGGTGAAGCGGTAGATGTGTGAACTCGGCTAAGCTCTAAGTTACACAAACTACCGTTGGCCATCACATTCCTCACCGTCCGAACCATTCCGTTGCTACACACTGTGCAAAGAATAACAAACCTTTCCCAACGCCGCAGGGGCGTGCAATTAGCCTAACTAAGCGCGTTGTCTGAGGATCGTCAGACTCGGTGACAGGCCACCCGCTGGCCGAGAGTCCGCTCAGCGTCATCAGCGCCTCGTGAGCGCGCATTAGTGCGGAAGACACCCCGCAAGTGCCGCGCCGGTCAGCGCCGAATGATGACGGCGTCGGCATATAAATATACTCGCCAACCGGGCCCTGCTCCGCGGGCGGCGCAGGGTCCGAGCTTTTTGCGACGCCATATTTAACCATCTGAGGGGGCGCTGTGGGGGATTTATCTGAACCGGGACACAATACCCTGCATGATACGAGTGCTGTTTACAGGGGTGGAGCTGGCTGCTCTTCAAATCGGCGCGACATCACGACGGCGGTGGTCTGAGGTGGACGACGCTGTACGACACGGCCACTCTCTAAATGCCATAGCATAGCGAAACTCGGATGGGGTTACGAGGTAAGTGCCGGTAAATTCGTTCCAAACAGTAAGGGCTCGCAACAGCCCATAGCAGGGGCAACGAGCGCCAAAATTCCTTCTCGACTCAAGAGCTAAAAAATATTTTTCAATGCCTCGATGCATGTAGTGCCACTGTGCAACTCATACCAAAGTTACAAACCTGAATCCCAGAATAGTCAAAACTCACCCTCAGCTTCTCTTTCCCGAAGTTTTCAGACCCGCTGCGCGACTAGTTTGATCAATACCAGAAAACACCACCAAACCACGAACATCCCATTTTCCCGGTTCGTCGGACTCGTTCAGTCCCTGCGCCCCCAGCGCACCGTACATTCTGCCCGCCCTCCCGGTCTGTCTGGGCTCGGCAGCGGCCTGCCACCCGCTGAGCGGACGCTGCGGGTCCACCGGCGGCGCCGCGCGTGCAGACTGTTTGCACACATCGGTCACGGTTGCCGGCGTGCGCGACAGCCCGGGGTGCGTGCGTGCCTCGACTGCGCCGGGTGGTGAGGAGAAACGGCCAGCCTGGCACCAAGATGGAATCCAACCGCTGCTCTGATGTGGAAGGTTACGAACGAGAGAAGGCTGCTTCATAATGTGTTTATGTTTATGGCAAAATAAGTGTTGACATATCGAGAAAGTGGAATTAACTAGTTCAGAGGGATGCCCTGCTTTCCTTACAGGATTGAACACCACACTTCCTTTACCTTTAGTCCAAATTCCTGTCCTTTCTGAATCGCAGACTCATTGCTTTTAGACTTCCGGTTTCGTGACCCCTGAACTGACCTGAGATGAAGGAGACCTCGCTGACTAGGATCCACTGCGCAGCGAACAGCAGCTCCACCTTCAGGAAGCGGACCGCCATCGGAGGCAGCTTGACCGACACGTTGCGCGCGCCGTCCAAGCCTCCACCCAGTGTGTAGTGGAGCACGGGCTCGGTGTTGTAGTAGCGACCTCCGATGGAGCCGGTCACGATGGCCTGGGAGAACACCTGAAGCACGGACCAGGAAACACGTGAGTTAAATGCATGCTCTGGAAAGGAGTGCGAGAGTTTATAAAATATGCAAGGAAATGACAATATTCGTTTCGTGCGTCATGCACCGATAGGTAGAGTTCCCAATTCAAATTCATTATATCCCGTGTCAGTTGACATTTTCCCGATATTTCCACTGCAACCCCAACTGTTAATGAAGCAAGGCATATCACATACCTCAATTTCTTCTCGTCTGTTGTTATTTGTATGTATGATCACTTCGGAGAAATTTCTGACTTCGCTGAACTCGAACGTCATCTCCAGTGAGCCGTCCGTTGAAGTGTTCCGCCATCCGACCCACTCGAATCCTGAAAAGGCAAAAAGGCACCGTCAATCAGCGAAACCCAGCGTCAGCTCTGAGTGCCACTCGGACGGCCCCACTGAGCACAACTCAAATCGGCGCATCAAAGTGAGCATAAATGCAGGCAATATTGGCCACACAATGCTACGAGTCTGGATATTCCCCTACCCGACGACTCCAGTTTCACCGTAAGGGATGCAACCGTCTGGCGCCGAGGAAGCGTCATATCAGATTTTACTTCACATCAGCCAGATGTTACTGGTCCCGTACCCGACACCCTGGATGGGATGCTTCCCTTGTCAAAAGCTCTAACTTGGAGCCAGACACACGGCAGTGTTTTCGCACATCGCGGGACACCTCGGAGCTGTTGGTGTCACAGAGAGCTGTCGCCTATCACTTGCTTCCTCACCGCACCGTGCGTCTCTCACCCCCGTCCAGCCACCCTGCAGTGGGCCCGACATTCGCCGGGGTCAGTCGACGACTTCCCGCGGCGCTCGGCGCCGATCGTGCCAGGTCACCCGTCAGTGCCCCGCGGCGATCGGAGCCAGGCCAGCTCGGTGGTCCTGGAGACCAGCAGACCAGCAGACCACGCGGACCACTGATCTGCACCGCGCTGCGGCGGGGAGCGCCGGCGGCTGACATTGGCAGGCTATTTTCCTGGTGGTATGGGAGCCAGGCGGCGCGGCACGGCGCGTCCCCGAGGGAGTAGGCGCGCGAGGAGACCCAGCTGGGCCAGGGACGCGGCGATCGACCAGCCGCAAACATTGGCTATATGTGGCACGGGGCCACACAGGCGGTATGTACTGGTGACCAGCTTCGGCAATGTCCACAGCAGACGAGAAAGGGTTTCCGCATGAGAGCAAATAGTATACTGGTAAGGATATCGGGATGCGCTGAGAGGAGCGCGGAAATAGACAGAGAAAGAAAGGCCGACGCTGAGCAGAGCTGGAACAGCCTTAGCCCGTGGTGTAAGGGGCTGCCAGCTCGGCGTCCTCGGCCGCTCCGATATCGACGCTCGTCAGTCGATGTGCCATTCTGCGCGGCTCTAAACTGTCGCCGGCCGCGGCCTTTTGAAGGCTGACTCAGCGCGCGTCGTCGTCTTGGACCCAGCTGTCCCCGGCAGCTGTCCACGTCACCGGCGGATCCTATTATCCGCCAGCCGAACGCAGCCGTGCTCGCATAGCCGATCAAAGTAATTAATTCAAAATAGCGAGCCCAATCTGGCCATCACCGCTGGAGCGCTGGTAAACGGTATGACAGCTCGGCAGGCGCTCTGGACGGCGCAAAAACGGCGCGCCGCTCGTCAAAGGCGGCTTATCTGGCGCGGCGTCGACAGTCTGCCTTTGTGCCGTTTGCAGCGGGGGTGAGCGGCGCCCTGGAGTTGGGATGGAGGGCCAGGGGAGCAGCTGCCCCCCCCCCCCCCCGGACACTGAGTCTGCCTCACAGGAGAGAGATGGGAGAGACGAGACTGGCTCGGGAAAGCAGCCGAGTGAATATTGATCTTAGATAAGATAAGAACAGCGGAGGGTGCACGACGCTCAAACATGAAAAAAGTTTGTTGACGGACATGAGATTATTTAAATTGTAAGGAAAGATATTTTGAGGTATGCTAAACGAGTGAGGTCGCTAACTACGAGTATGCAACATGCAAAGAAGACGTGTAACAGCAGTTGATGAGATTGGGTTGTCATTGTGTTGTACTTACCAGCACTTTGTGGAAGTAATGGTTGGAATGAATCTTACATTAAGTAAAACATAATTTAGTAGTACATCATATGAAATGGAATGATACTGAAGTAAAATACCTTCTTGTTAGCGAACGGGAAACAGGAACGGAACGGAAAAGCCAAAATTGTCTAAAAGGGGTGGTTCACTATGAGACGACATTCAGAAGACGGGAATAATGCCGGAAGATGTCCTCTGGGCCAGTGGACATTTCCCAGAAAACGCTGACTGGACCGGCACCGGACACCGAGGCGCGGCCTGGCAGTTTTCTGCACTGTTTGTCCGAACCATTTCTCTGAAATGCAAAATGCTCCAGAGCTCTGGCACTGCCGAGCGATGTGATATGCTGAATGGCCATTTCCTCTACACGGAAAAAAATATTTACTCCGCGAGAGATTTACATACACCTTTTTTTGAAAACTCCTTTTGATGGTGTTCATATACCATTCATTTTGGAGTATTTCATGGCGAGGAAGAGTAATAAAAGTACCTCACTTTATCTGTCGGAGTAAAGGAAAGAGATTGGGATTTCACTTACTCCCCATGCATAACCGCTCGGAGTATACAAATCCGGTCGGAGTTTTGTTACTCTGCTGTGACAGTTCGAATAAGCTTGGAAGTACGCAATGCAGAGTAATTCACCGCAAAGGGAGTTAACGAAGAACAGAGAGGACAGTCAAAAGAAAGGAAGAGTAACTGAACTCCAAAAAAAGACCTGATACTCCTATTGAAAGAGTTTTGCCGCCATCGCGGCACTGATGCACGTGCGTTTTCGACGCCATTTTCAAGGCAGCAGTCGGTGGCAGTTGCGCCTACAGTGAACATGCCGGTGGTGGTGTCAGTGGACTGTCAGTGGATTGTGAGAGTTTTCGGCGGAGAGTGGTGCAGGAAAAGGTGGGAGTTGGTGACGATACGCTCGGAGACGACGCTCTCGCAGCAGCAACTATCATCTCACTGCATATAACTGACAGGATCTTCGAGCTCACAATTCAGGCAAGTCCCTTCTCGCTGCGACTTTGGAGATGCGTTCAACAGTTATATTTTCTTCGTGACATATTAAAACCAGAAGCTACTGCAGTGGAGGCTGTTTTTTTTTCTTTGCCCAAAATATTGACGTCCAGTACCTATGCCGGCTCTTCCCGGAATCATTCTTTTTTGGTAGCTATACACTTTTGGCAAAACTAGAGAATGCAATGAACGACATCACCGCCTGTTCCCCTTTGTCGTAGACTTGTGATGGCAGAATATACAAGGGTTAAAAACGAAAATTAATAAAAGATTTAGTTTTTGGAAACTCGTGGTAATGGCTTACATGTTCCGGTTAATTTTTGCTCTATTTTGCTCCTTTCTTTGAAAAATAATCTGAGTACCTGAATGTCATTAGTTATCTGCGCTGCATAGATCCATGCCCCATTTCAAGTAGCCTTTTCATAAGGTAATTTATACTTTAACCCTCGCCGGCACAGGCCATTTTGCGTCCTTCGACGGCACAAGGGGGGGGGGGGGTACGACCTCCCTGGCGTTTGGCCCCTGATCGAGCTAGAGCTTCGCGGAAAAAAACGAGCGTATTGCCCTTGACGAGAGAAAGCCGATGATACCAAATTTTGAGGTCCTATGTCATCGGTTGACCTTCTAGGTCAGGTCAATGACCCAAAGGTCGGGAAAATCGGGACCTGCAAGAACATCGTAAAGGGTGGCTGCTGTTTTTTTTTTTCGGGGCGCTGATCATGAATATCATGTTGGTTTAGATCACAGATGATGTCCTTATGCATGTAGGCCAGGTCAGGTCAGGTCAGGTCAGGTCAACCAGTAAGGGTGCTGCCGGGTATTTGTAGTAGGTGTCAACCGCCTCTGACAGCCTCGTAACATGTTACGAAGGCACGAAAACGACTTTGTAAATGTTCAAATGGTTTTTAACCGAGGTCACCAAAAGTCAATGACCTGACCTGACCTTCAGGTGACCTTGACACCCATCCTAATCCATGAGACCAACATCATATCACATGTTTGAACGCTTGAAACCACGGAAAGACTGCAAACGCGCTGCTAATGCGAGCCGACGTAGGTACGCCGAATCGCGATTCTGGCCAAACATGGTCTTGGAAAATAGGCCACAGGTCAAAGGTCATTTGGGTCAGGGTCATGAAATTATCAGGGTAGGTGTAAAATTGATTCACACGAGGGTACTGAAAGTGTCGTCGCGATCGGCCGCTTTTTGCGCGAGTTATTTGCGAAAAACCTGCCCCACCCCCTTGTGCCGGCGAGGGTTTAACAATGAAACTAGTTTTAATGAAAGAAAGAAAGAAAGAGGCTCTGCTGATCATTCCTTCTCCATGAGCCCCGCCAACCAAACCTCACCACCACGTGCAGCTCCACATCATACACCGAAACAACAGACTTATCATGACACTCGTAACACTCAGGCCCACTTCTCTCACACCCTCCCTCAGCCACGATCACCAGCTCAATCCAACCCAACAGCACCACCATCCCCAGCGCTTGAAACCCACGACTACGACACACCATCAGCATCCCATTCTTTTGCCGGACACCAAGACATACCATCATCACCCTCAAAATCCATCAGCTCAATCTCTACTCGCCTTATAATGTATAGAAAGATATATGAGGAAATGAGGGCAAGTTTTGTGCTACAAGGTGTCGATCTGAGCCGCGACCCTCTGGCGGACCCAGACCTTGCTCCATACCTCATGCGCGGTGTTACTCAGTGTCCTGATTTATCGTGTCTAGCTCAGCCTTAGCTGTAGTTATCTGTGCATATCTGTATACCTATTTGAGGTGCATGCCTGTACTGGTTACTTTGTTTGTAATATATCCTATCAACAAGTTTTAATGAAAGGCATATGAAAAAATACGTGTATTTACATATATTGCTTTATTATAGGCCTCTCTCAATAATTTTCCGAAAATTACCCGCCACATCAAAAGACAAATGCACTCAAGCGTGAATTCCGGAATTGAAATGTTTATGAAAATGTTAGTTATATAAAATGTTATACGGAAATGTTAAAAAGCTCAAGTTATCAATTGCAAAGGTTGAGCACAGAGCAGAGCAAACATCACTCCTCGCCCAATACAGTGACCTTATAATTGCATCAAATTTCATCAGATGTTGGGAATGTCCCTAGCTCCTAGATAAAGTTTCTCAGAAACCCATTGACCCAACCTATGCAGACTTAAAATATTGTCTTTTTTAGTCACAACGGAACATTTTCCATTGCAGATAATGCTGGCAAGCATGGTTGGCAAACACGCTCGGAA